ACGTATGAAGCTTTTGTAGCTTTTAAAATTAACTACAACTTATGTTACTAATTTAAATCTGAATCCTTATGCATGATGAAATAGAGCTGGCCAAACATGTTATTGTTTTTCAGTGAATGCAATTTACATTCACTGAAAAACAATGGTGGGTGTTTATCGCTCTGATTCATCATGCATAAGAGATACAGATTTGAGTTGTTTACAAAAGATGTAGCTAATAAAAAAAACCAACAAAAGCTTCAAAAACTATTTTACGGAATTCTGCTGATGAAAAAAATTAGAGGCAAATGAATGTAAATGAATGCATGAAATGAATGTAAATGATGTTCCATCCCTGAGCATGATATTCATTGTTCATCAATTGTCTGGTTAAGGATGTAATGTAACGCGTAAATAATCCTGAAAAAAAAACAGGCGCATTTTTTTTTAACTTGATTCAACCGAACCCACTCATATCGCCAGAAACTGAACTGGTATACCTCATCATCAACGGCAGCACAATAGTCTCGTTCAACATTTCAATTAGCATAATGTCAACGCTTCCTCATCCGCATTCTGAAACCGGAAACCACTCGCAACCTCGTCAACATCTTTCAGTAAAATAATCTTAATTAATTAAATCAAGATAGATCCCTGCCCGTCGCCGTCACCGGCGATGTGCACGCCACGAGAATGGCCCATAAATCCTCGCCGCACAGTTCGGTAAGCAAATACCTCTTGGCACAATCCCACCGTAAAAATCAGCTGGATTAGATCATAAAATTCGATATTGATCCCGGGCTCGAGTCTGGAAATTTTGCTGAAGGAAAGAGAAAAAAAACAAAAGCAATCCTAATCGCAACGAACGCGCGACAATCGCGCTGAATGGATCTAATTTATGGTCGTCTGAGCCCATACGTGAAGTCTCCGTGGGCCGAGAATGATTGGAATTTAATTGCGAGAAGAAGCCAATAATAATTTACCTTATTCGAAGAACCGCTCGCCGTTCCCTGCACCACCCGGTGGCGCTTTCCTGGTACCACACCGGGCCGGGGTCGGACGGATGATTGACAGATTAGCATTCACATGTAGCGTAAAAGAATGGAAGCATAATAGCCTTGTGATGGTAGCAACTGCCAGGTTGTGAAAACTGCTTTACGCGCACATTTACGGGGAAATTGAAATGGTTCTGGGCTCTCGGCCGGCCAGCTGACGAGGGGTGCCATTTTTCTCACCTTTCTAATGTTTCACCTTAGCTTTCCTTTAAGTTCCGGGAAGAACCTACAAGCATTCCAGGAGAACAACAACAATTGGTTCGGTTCTCACATCTAACCTCAAATTAAGCACTTATCGATTTGACACTTTGACTTATTCAATTTAATTCAATTTTCAGTTCGCCGCCGCCGCCATCGCTGCGAGGCTGAGCGGAACTATGGAGAGAAGGGAAGGGAGGGTAAAATGGATTTTCGTTTTTTTTTTCGGTGGTGATTGTTTTGCGGCGGTAAACAATCGTGTTCGGGGCATTTAATGAAGACGATTGAGTTAGGATGGAAGGAGCTGCCGGAAAATGGGTGCTTCTTTGCGGTGGTGGAGCGGTGGGCCTTAAGTGCGATTTGGGTGAACGGACCCCGTCCCAGCGCTACAGACAGAGGCTGTCTCATAGCTGTCAGCTTCGTTTCACACAGTTCTGTTGTGGTTTGCCGTTTTGACAGTCGGCGTAATTGAAAAAACATCGTCTTGGGTGGGCTGCATACGGTTCGAATGATGGTTTTCGGATTGGATTTAGGTACCCGTAGCAAACGCTGCATGCAAATTCTGGAGGTACATTATCAACTGCATATTGCTGCATTGGAGTGATATTTACACTTCTGGAAATAAGGATTGTGCACTGCTTCTTTGGGGATTTAAAACTTGAAGAATTCAAACAGTTAACCGCAACAATATAGCCAGCCAATTCCACCCACCATGGTCCCTCACACAACATTTTCAATCAAGTTCCTTTCATGACCAATCTCCAAGCCCCACTTACAGGAAGGCACAAATTAATCGCTATTTCATACTTCATAATCGAAACCTCGGTCGTCGGTGCATACGACCAAGTGGCGCTATTAGCGGTCAAACTCCATAGAAAAGAAAGAGTTGGCCAATTGAATCCCACCCATACCCTCCAGCAGCCCCACCCCATTTCCACCCATTGAGAGGCGTTTGATTGAAAACATAATTCCATAAGAAGCCGCTTCTCCTCGAACAACCGCCGAGAAGCAGAAAACCAACAACAGCGTCTCACCGAATCGATCGATCGTTAATTGTTCGGTGATCACTAAACACCCTTCTTCGCATAAAGCGAATGCCACTACCACCACCTTCATTGCTGCTGATCGCTGCTGATCCCGATGACAGCTACGGTATTCAATAATAGCTGCTGCCCAGCCCGATGATTTCAACCTCGCGGAATAATGATCGACATCGATCCTCGAGAGACAGCGAGACGAACAGTGTGATGGCTCAATTTTTGCGCTGAGTCACGTGGGAAGCTGCTAGCCCAGACCGATGTCACAAGGGACCTCCGTGAAGGCTTCTTCGGCGCATTGTGCGGGAATCCAGTAGGGTACCAACCTCCGTAATTTAACGAAAATTATACACTGACTAATGTCTTCTAATTTATAATCCCCCGGGTAATAGTTGTATTTTGTCTAGATCTGTGTGTTCTCATTATCTGGTCCTTCTTTCTCATCCGCCTAGCGCTGCGGTAATTTATGAACCCGAACAGCGAACGAAGCGGAGAAAGTGAGAAGAAGTTTGATAAATTTCACCCTTGCCCGTAATCCCTTTCCTATTTAATGCGACGCTGCGCTAAATTGTTCGGTTCGGTCCCCTCTCATCCTGGTGTCCGGACTCGATAAGGATCAATATTCCTTTAAATACGACGACACGAGCTGTTGAATCTAGCGCGAACAAGGAGGAGACACCAGTGCTGTTGTCGTAAAATTTGAGCCAAGTAGTCACACATTTTTTTTTTTTTTTTTTTTCATTTGGCGCCAAGATCAGAATGGCGTTTGTTTTCATTCATTGAATCAAGAAGTCAAAAACAAGAGCTCCTGGGAACCTTTAAGGAAAAATGCAAGGGCAATAATTTCAAGAAATTAGTGGAAAAAATTGGAGGGGTTGGCATAGTTGACGTAGACTACGTTGAGATGTTTAGTGAACTTCTGGAGCATTTTTCTTGATATTGATTAAAAATACAGTAGAAGTAACTTATTTCCTCAATTTACTCCATTTCCTCTCCTTGACAGGTCAATTTCCTCACCCTTAGTTATTTTTCTGACTTTTCTGGACTTTCCGTTAAGGATATTTCCGCATATGAAACACTTGTGTTTAATCATCCGTAATAAAATATATTCACCGTGCACACTTCAATGCCCGTCGCATCTCCTTGGAACATTTGTTATGGATAACACGTTTAACCAAAAGCTTGACCGCAGTGGGATATCTGTGATGGGAAATCATTCACAAGCACGTATTGCACATCCCAGCTCAAATAACATTGCAAGTTTTATTGAGGTTTTAATGCACTCTACAAGTCGAAATCATGGTCTACAGTGCCCTCATAAAATCCAAATTGTTACTTGTGAGGTAACCAATAAGCCCGCAATTTGGATTGATTTTGTTATATAAAGCTAACATACGACTAATACAGAATTTCGGATTATTACTAATCAGGCTTGTTGGTTACTTGGGATTGCCTCCTCACTGTCTTTCCATCAGCATAACCGAAAATTTGATATTCAGAGTTGTGCTTTCACAAAATTAGTCCAATATTTAATCATAATTTGCCACTTCAAGCAATCAAAAATTCGTCCATCCAAGCAGGATCATAATTCTTAATGTTCATTGGATAACGTCAACATTTATCCGCCTCTTAAGCACATAATGAGGAACTAGGGCTACAAGTATTCAGAAATATGTTTTTGCCATTCTTGCATTTACTCAAAGTATGCTCAAATCCATTTTCAGAGGTTTCATTTTTGTTGGATCGAACTAAAAACAGCACCATGCGCAACCAAACGGTACTCGATTATGACGACTTGGTTTGGGAGAACGTTTATTTCATTGAAACAGTGATAAAATTATCACTTTTTATATGTACATTTTCAACCATTTGTTTTTTGAGAAAATTGGAAAAACGTTATATTATTAGATATTTCCTATCGATTGGTGTATTTGGATTTTAATTTCATCAATAAATGACAAAGCTACAAGCGTTCAAAACCTTACACCTTTTCGTGACGGTCATAATTTTCGATTTTCGATTTACCCCCAGTACCTTCCCGTAAGACTTAGTCTACGTCAAAAATATGTGTTATACATTGGTTTTAGTGCGTACTGCGAACTCAGCGGATTTAATTTTTCAAGTGAGCTAGAAAACATCTTGAAAATCTTCCGAAGTTTCAAATTGTTTTGCTGAAACAGCTCACGAAATTGTATATACATGCTGTCAAATGAACTCTTGGCTCCTCCTCCTCTGCTCCAGAAATAACGTATACATGGTGATGGTAGTGCACCTGCCCAAAAAGCTCACATGACTCTTATAATGTTTGATTACATTCTTATTTCATCGGAGACGAGCCAGCCAACGGCTGAAAGTCTCCTTAATAAAGATATAAAAAAAAAAAAAAAAAAAAAAAATCTTACTTCAGCAACCCAGTTCTGGCATTATTAACATCAAATAAAAACACTTTTTCGAGCATCACGCTCGATGATTTACATTATCCGCTTACTAAGGTTGATGTTTCGACAGTTTCATAATTATAATTCTTAATTTGTTTTCAGTAGGTGGCAACACCTTTACTTGTGGTTCAAACAGTAACTACCTACGTGACTTCTGAGCTCTTTTGAATGTTTGGCTCCCGTAGGACAGTTTGACTCGGCTCCCAGATGACAAGCATTTTGAGTTAGTTCGCAGTACTCAGGTGCATAGTAGTCAATGACCAACCACAATCACAGCAAAGAAAGACACTTACCGTCCCGTTTTGGTGATGATCATTTCGGTGCCGAGTTCGTTGAATTTGTCCCACAGCTCCTTGGTTTCCAGGTGACACTGAACCGGCCGGAGGTCGTCCGAATTGCACGAACCGACGATGGTTGGTCGTTTCTGAAAAAGGGAAAAGAGAAAGCTATTAGTATTAAGCAAACCCTCCTCAGTTGATCATACAAAAATCAAGTTCCAATAATAAGAGCTCAACGAAAATACATCCATAAAACGTAACGTAACATCTAAGCAAATGTCTTAAGCCTCTTACTTTCTTAGCACTTACCGAAGCCGGTTCCGGTGTGAGCCGCTCCTCGTCCGACACACTGTTGGGCGTTGCCGTCGCTCTGGAATGTGTCCGTCGACCGTCCTGACCGGACCGGGAAGCTTCCTCCGAATCGGAGCACTCTTCCACATCGACATCCACTTCATCGTCAACTTCCGAAAGCCGATCTACCGAACTTGGAGGTCCTGCAAATACACACAAAAATAGGGTCAACGGTTAAAAAAAAAAACAAAATGGCCTCCACTTAGGTGATACCGCTTATCTACTCGACAATTTGTACGCTTATCTTCTACCCGGGTGCACCCCAGCTCGAAAACAACGGCAATTAATTATTCCAGAGCAGCGCGCCGCGGCCGCGGCCAGCGCCATTACCGCATGTTTAATAAATCAAACAACAACGCATATAAATTTATTCCCATTTACCAATGCTTTAGCGAAGGAATCAGCGAACGAGTTGAGCCCGAGGAATTAATTAAATTAACATGTAAATTAGGCGTGAAACAATTAAAATGTATTGTGCGAGAGCAGCAAAGAGAAGCATTTTTATAACGCTCAAACAACATCGAAGAGGCTCTTCGCCGTTTCGTGCACTGCCAGTGCCGAAACGCGCAACCTCGAAACGTCAAACTAAATTAAGGTTATGTAAACATCGTTAACACGCTCCAGTCCGACCCGCAAACTGACCATATGCGCGCGCGAGCCTTCGATCCAGCCGGAGAAGAAAAACCAACAACAACTCGATCCAGCTGATGGCTTTTCCTCCTCCTGTGAGCTGCCGAGAAAATTAGACTGCTGTGAGTGCGGTTTTCGGGTTTCTACCCCGAAAAATTGAGGTTAATCAAATCCACCATCTGGCGGCTGGCTCAGCCAGTGTGGTTGGTTGGTGCTAAAACTTTCCTCCGCTTTCGAGGATCGGTCCAAGAGTGAGAGCTAATTTGAATATAAAAAATAAAACCACCATCAGCGCGAGTTCCACTCGCACCAACCGAGGAGCGAATGTTCTAATGTCCCTGCGAGTAATTATAGAGTACCTTCCGGGAGTTGCTGGCAACCGGGATGGCACAGATGGGCTGCTGCTGCTGTTGCTGTAGCTGGAATATAGCTTGGACAGACGGGCGCCCGAGAGCTATCCTGATGGATTGCACCTCATCAGGAAGTGTGGAGCTGGCCTAATGGCGAAATAATTGAGGATCTGCTTTAGTCTAAATCGATTTGGACAGAGTTGTCAGCAGCAGCAGCAGCAGGAGCAGGAACAACTGGGTGATGTTTCGGAACACCGGCGAAGCATTTCTGTAGCATTTCTGCTGATATAACAATTTCGTGGCAAAGAGAAATGGGGTAGCTAAAGTCTACTTTACATTATTATTTTTAACAATATTTCCATCGGAAAAGCATATAATCTTTATATGAATTGCTATTTTATAAGTGTAAGGATAATGTGGTTAATTTTTTTAATGCTGTCGATTTTTAAAATGCCATGATTTTCATTGTTGTGAACTATGATTTTTTTTATTGATTTTATGGTAACCGACTAAAATGTCCAGTGACAGTAAATCAGGGTGGCAAGTGAATTTGCATTTTGAAATTCCTGGTTTTTTCCTGGTTTTCCTGGTCAATGATTTAAAAACCATGTAGGGAAAAAAAGTTGGCTTCGGCAATACCTTAACCTATTATCGTCAGGGGGGTAAACAACGTCCTTGAGAGCTCAATTTTGGCAGGTGGATACATTGTGTTTCAGAGCAACTATTGGCCAAATTTGAGTGCTCTAGGACTTTGTTTACCCCCTGACGATAATAGGTTAAGGTATTGCCGAAGCCAACTTTTCCCCTATTTAAAAAACAATTTTTAATAAAAAAAAATAAGTGAATCCTTGTACCATCATTCTTCGCGTAATGCGGAATTTCACAAACCAAAATAGGTATTAAGGTTCTTGTGAATGCCCGTGAAATCTTTATCTGATTGTTTGCTGTAAAGAAGCTAGTAGGGATCCGCGCTACTTCGTCGTATCATGACGCCTATTTCCGTTCTAGCAAAGCGTTTTCACTTATGTTTTTGCAAAAACATCTTTGCTTACATGATTAATAACGATTGACACTGAAACATTTGCGATAACCCGTAAAATGAGCGATTTTAGGAGTGTATGATGAAGAAAAACTGAGATACGACGGACTAGCGTGGAGCCCTATCTAATGTCTGAAATTTAGAGATTTCTGTTTTTTGAAACTGCGATTTTTTAACTTTATTATTGAGATTTTTAGCCAACGGGCAGTTTATCTCAAGGTGAAATTGCGAAGTGTGATATGAATGAGGACTCTTTAAACAAACCTTTGCTTCTAACAATTTTACGGATTTCCAGTTTGTTTAAATTTTCCGCAAATTGTCAACGATTAAGGATCTTATTTAGCTGAATTTTGATTACAACATGATTTCAAAATCATATAATTAAAAGATTTCATAAACAACGCTGGTTTAATAACTCTTATTATTAAAAAGACTGACTGCTGAAGTTCATAGAAACCCCTTAAAGTTCGTAGAACTTCCCTGAAGCGTTAAGGTCTTTTCTCAAGGGTTCATTGAAGTTTGTATTGCCTGAAGTTCATGGGACTTCCCCGAAGTTCGAAGGACTTTTTTAAAGACCTTAGGACTTCCCTGAAGTTCGGAGTTTTTTTTAAATTCATAGGAATTTCTTAAATATCGTAGAAGTACCACGAAGTTCGTAGAAATTCTCAAAAGTTCCTAAGACTTCCTTGATGTTCGAAAAACTTTCTCGAAGATCTGAGGACTTCCCTGAAGCTTGAAGGACTTAACTGAACATATGAGGACCCGAGGGGGGCGACACATCTAAATCTCAAGTTTAGATGCTCAACAAATCTCACACTAGCGAAGCAATCTTCGAACAATCTTCTTTCATTTGTCGCATCTACTTGCATCGCTCATCAATTTTTTGCAGGAAATCTTCAGAATCGTCTTTCTATCTACTCAGCGTGCGCGCAGCTAGCCACAGCAAAACACAATCTTTTTTGCATCGTAGATAGAGTCGTCCCCCTCGTAAGGACCCTAAGTTTGTGGGTCTTTCCATAATTTCTTGGAAATTCCCTGAAGTTTGGAGAGCTCCCATGAATTTCGTAGGACTACCTGTAGTTCAATCGACTTCTCGGAAGTTCTAGGAACTATTTTGAGCTTGGAGAACTATGTTAAGTTCAGAGGACTTCCCAAGAGTATTGAAGACTTCTCTGCAGCTCAGAAAAAATCCATAAGTGTCATAGGATTATCCTTCAGTTTTAAGCAATGCCTAAATGTCGTAGAAGTTACAATAAATCTGTAGAAAATTCTGTAAAATTCGTAGTTATTCCCCAAAAATTAAAGGACTTCTTTGAAGTTCGTAAGACTTCTCTGATATTTGTAAAACTTTTCTGAAGGTTCAGAGAGATTTCCTGACTGTCGTAGGTCATCACAGTTGTTCACAGGATTTTCCTGAAACTTGTAAGACTTTCTCGAATTTTGTAGAACTTGCATGAAGTTCAAAGGCCTTATCTGAAGTTTTTAGAAATAGAAATTTTTAATTGAACATTTTGAACAGGTACTTCAAAGTAGTTACGCGTCGGCATTGCTTAACTCTGCTATCAATTAAGCACAAATTATGCATGCAATTGATTTGAGAAAAAAATTAAATTAAAAATAAATGCAAAATATATTTACTAAATTTTGTTCAGGGTAAATTTTGTTCATCAATGTTTAGTTGTGTGAAAGATTAAGCTTGAACAAAATGGTTAGTTTTGACCTGATTTTAAAAATAAACTTTGACATACATAAAATTTAAATCCTTTTTAAATTATACAAACAAGATTATTTTCCTGGTGGACTTATGAAAGTTCTGGTTTTTTCCCGGTTTTTCCTGGTGAAAATAAATTCCCCAATTTTTCACAATAATACTCATACACGAATCTAACCGAAACAACCAAACAATAGATCACGCGCGATCGAGGTTATCTTGCAGAGTAACAGGTGGAAATCAAAACCAACTGGAACAAACACTCCAAATCTATGCACGATTGATGTAAAATCACAAACGAAGTGACAGACGGAGCGGCTCAAAAACTTTGGTGACTAACCTGCTATTGCAATTTTTCAGTGTACCACATGGCAACCCTACTACTGGATTGTACTAGCATTTTCACCAAATATATTAGAATGTTTTGGTTCGATCTCTTTCGCTCTACTCAAAACTGAAATGCATAAAAAAATGACAAAATGATACACTCTTCCCAACAAACAATTTGAGCTGATTAATAGCTGAACAAGCCATTTTATACTTGAAGAAGCTTATTTTTGTCTGAATAAGCACTTATACAACTGTCAATGTTTGTTGGGTTTGCACACTGTCAAAGAATCATTGTACACAAAATCAACTTTGTTCAAATCAAAACAAAAATACTAACCCATCTGGTGGATGCTGGCACAAGCTTTTAAGAAAATTCTATTACAGCGAACGACATTATTTTAATTGATTTCTTCGCCAGTTAGTCGTCTGTCACTTCGTTTGTGGTAAAATGATGCGAATTCATACATTATGATTTCAAATTGCACCACCTTTGCATTCGCTTAATTCAGAAACGACTGAACAACTCGTCCAACCAATCCAAATTATAGACATACTGCATGAAGCAGATTGGCCCAATCATTCTCCTCGATAACCATCAAACCGAATGACCATTATTCCACGCATATTTTCGTCCAGTCAATTTGTGAGCAACACTAGCCACACAATAATTATAATATATGATCAAGCATGGGAAAAATCGTTTTAGTTTGCATTTACTATTCAGTCACATACATACAACATCAGAGACGAGTAGTAGTATATGCGCATAGCCCAAGGGGTAAGTCACTCAACACATTGTGCCGAAATTAATTTCGGCACAGCTTAGATACATCCATCGGCACACCTTCAGCATACCTTCGGCACAATTTCGTAGGCATATGATTGTTGTAAATAAAATTGGAGCACTGCTGGACAACTGTCATTGAATCACGTGCTATTCGGGAACATCCTCTAATTGAATATACCAGAGGAACTCAGACCAGCAATTCACTTATAGATCTAAAAACGAAATGTAGGATCTAGAATGCGCTCAAGAGAAAGCGGCAGTTAATCAGACCCCATTAGTAAATGCTGCAACTCACG